CCCCACCTCCCCCCCCAGTAATTTTTGGGTAAAGCTGATGGGCAGCGTGGTACTTCTTTTTGTAAAGTGGTTCCTTTGTACTGATCATTGATACCTGCTGCTTTGGTTTCTCCACCCTGTCTGTGATGTTTCTGTGTTCTGTCGAATAAATTATTCTAGTTTATTAAACTCAGAAAAAAAAAAAAAAAAAAGAAAAAACAGTAAAATACAGTCCCAATTCCTGGACACTTCTGTTGGCTAAGGCTGGGGGAACTGGCATAGGCAGCAAGTCACAGAACCATAGAATGGTTTGAGTTGGGAGGGACCTTGAAGTTTATCCAGTTCCATCCTCCCTGCCATGGGCAGGGACATCTTCCACTAGACCAGGTTGCTGAAAGATCCACCCAACTTGGCCTTGAGCACTTCTAGGGATGGGACAGCTTCTCTGGGCAACCTGTGCCAGGGCCTCACCATGCTCACAGGGGAATTTTTTCTCTCCTGTGCAAGGACCAGGGAGCAGCAGCTATCTGCCCTGCTCATGCCACCCCATCCCTCCTCTGATGACAGCCTCCTTGGTGTGCAGAGACATGCAGAGAGGATTCAAGGAGGAGATGAAGGGATCTGTGTCCTGCAGCAGGGACTGGGCGTTATTTTGGAAATGAAATGCACAGCCATGCTGTACCTGATGAGCATAGGGCACTAACGAGCTGCTTGTTAAACAAGCCATGTCCAGTCTGTGTCCTGCTGAGGAACTGCTCAGAGCTGATTGTTTTAAGGATCACTGAATCATGAAGGTTGGAAAAACCCTCTAAAGTCATACAGTCCAGTGATTCCCCCAGCCCTGCCAAGGCCACTAAACCGTGTCTCCAAGAGCCACATCCAAACATCTTTTAATGCTGCAGGAAGTTTCTCATCCCTTTTGAGCGCAGCAGGGGCCACAACTGGGAAATGAGCCAAATAACACCTCCATTTATGAGCCTGAATTCGGAGACAGTTCCTCATGGAAGGGCTGTGGCTTGTCCCCTCATAGTCAAGGAAGGAGAAACCATGCCTCAAGTTGTGCCAGAAGAGGGTTAGATTGGATATTAGGGAAAATTCCTTCCCTGAAAGGATTGTTCAGCCTTGGGACAGGCTGCCCAGGGCAGTGGTGGAGTCCCCATCCCTGATGGGATTTAACAGATGTGCAGATGTGGCAATTGAAGACGTACGTGGTTTAGTACTGGGCTTGGCTGTGTGTGAGTAAAGATTGGACTCCATGATCTTAAAGAGCTTTTCCAACATGAATGGTTCCATGATTCTACATCCCCAGCTGTGTTACCTTGCCCAGGAGTTAAAACTCTGTGGCCTCAGTGAAGACAGGCTTTCTGGATGACTTTTCCAGAGAAAAGTCCAGAGAGAGCAGAGGTTGGACACAATCATGTCCCATGCAGCTTGAGCTCTCTTTGCCATGCTGATGCTACGGGGAGAGTCCTTAAATTGGTTCACTTCATGGGTGTCAGCATTTGTGCCAGAGGCTGTCCTAACCTTCCCCACCAAAGACAAATCTGGCTCCATCAGCAAAGCCAAAGTCTCCAGTCACACAACTAGACTGATCCCATATGGGCATTGCCAGAGGCAATATGCATTCCTGGGAGCAATGTCCCTATTGCCCAGCACAACTCTCCAAATCTCTCATATATGCATAATCCCTTCCCCCAGCATCCGTGAGTACTTAATATTTTTGACATCTCCAGTCCTCTGTCAAATCTGGTTCAAGCTGGACAAGAAGGCTTAAGTTATTTTAGGAAAAAAAAAGGGAAGTTTACATGGGTACAAACTGAGCTATTGCTTAAGTCCCATTTTGAAAGCCAAGCAAATTCAGTTCTCTGTCCTTGTTGCGCTATCTGCATCGCTGTGATGTGGAAGAGGGTCAGCTCCTCCACATGTCCTGGCAAAGGAGGCAGTGAGAAAGACGTAGCTGGGGTATTGGGAAGGCTCCAGTGGTCTTCTCTCTACCTCAGAGCCCACCTCCTCCAAGGTGAGACCCCCCTCTATGGCTGTTTCCTCCAGGAAGGAGGAGCTGCACAATCTGAGACTGCACCTTCTGTTTGCCAAATCGTCTGCTCCCAGGGGTGCTCGAGGAAAACACACTGAGCTCCAAGATCCCTCTCTGGGAACCCTTCATGGCTGTGTACTACACACCACAGTCCTAGGGCTGCTATGGGTCCCATCATGGGGCAAAAAGGCCACCTCCTAAATGCAGGAACCTGCAGGTCTTGGTCCAGGGGAAGGGCATGCTCACCTTTACCACAGCTGGAAGGGACTGAGTCAAGAGCAGATGGAGAGACTAACAAGCCAGGAGCCCTCCCTGCTGCCTACACTGGGGCAGAAATGCTCCCAGGTTCTTGGTCAGAACCTGTTTTCCCCCAGTTCAGCTCTGGCTCAGCTGGATTGGTTTTGCTGTGGATCCTTGGCAGTGGAAAGGATGCTCAGGCACTCTTGCAGGAGAGCTAGGCTCCTCTAGGCTTTTCCTTTTGCTGATGGTGGTGACACAGATCCATGCTTTTAATAAGTGACAAAACATCAACATCCCCAGCCTTGGGCAGGATGTGTTGCCCCTGCTGCACATGCTGCCAGATGGAGTTTTGGGGTGAGCAGAAGTGCTCACATGGCTTGACCTGGGAGAAGAATGGAGCAGGTTCCAGGCTCAGCTGCCAGGCAGACAACTGTTGCCATGGCACAGAGTGAGTCAGTACAGCACATTCCCAGTGTAAGGTTCCCCAAGTGCTCTTGAAGTACAGCCTTCACCCTGCCTCACCTGTCTTCGAGCCCTCCTCACCTCAGCTGACACCCAGAGCAGAATACAGCCTTCTGTAAGCAGGTTGTTACTTCCCAATTAACACCTTGGTAACACTGTGGGTGTGGCAGGAATCATTGCCTGCTTTCTCAGCCCAGGAGAACACATCAGTTACATCAAATCTAAACGTGCAGTTGGTGGGAAAAGAACTAAAGTACACCAAAGGACACAGACCAGGTTGGGATCTAGAGAGGGAGAGCAGAGTTTGGAGTAGGCTGGGGCTGGAAAGGTTGTTCCTCTTCCTTTTGCAGGTTGCAAGCAGGAACACAAGCAGTCACACTGAAACTTCCTGAGCAGAGGCTGCTGCTTGTGACATACATGCACATGATAAATGTCAACACCCCTTTGGGGGTGCAGCTTCCCCTTGGTACTCTGGGCCTGGAATACAGTGGGTAAATATCCCACAGAAAAGCCTGTTTCCTCAAACTCCTGTTTTTTTATGAAATTGGAGAATGGCTGGTTTGGAAGGGACCTCAATGCTCATCCAGTTCCAACTCCCTGCCATCAGCAGGCACACCTTCCACTAGACCAGGTTGCTGAAAGATTTATCCAGCCTGGCCTTGGACACATCCAGGGATGTGCAACTTCTCTGAGCAACCTGTTCCAGGGCCTTGGCACCCTCACAGGGAAGAATTTCTTCCCAATATCCCATCTAACCCTGCCCTTTGGCAGGGAAGCCATTCCTTGTCCTGTCACTCCAGGTCCTTGTCAAGTCTCTCTCCTTTTTTTGTTCCTCTCCCTTTCTGCAGACATGACACAAGCCTATGATCAAACAACAGGACATACTCTGCCAGCAGCCACAGTCAGAACCACAGGCACAGCTCTCATCTG